GACTTTATAATTCCTTGTGGGGTGGAGTCTGGGCAACCGAATGGAACTGAGTGTTTACTGGCGGGATGCCCTTCCTATCGCCAATGCGGAGTTATATCCAGCAGATATATTCTCAGTGTGCCCCGAGAGAGAAATATCTGCCTCTACCGAGGATCGAACCCTCAGCCTCCTGATTGTGAGACGAGAGCTCCACCTCTAGGCCACTGCAACCCTCATTTCTTGCACAGATAAACTGATTATTTTATTTGCTTATTTGTTTGAGAGGCACTGGCCGAAGTTTTCAGAGCATTGCACAGCCCCAGGGCCTCTGACTGTGTATCCCTGTATGTATCCCTTAATTAGCCTTTTGTGCCACTACACTATACTATACTTCAAAAGTATTGAGATGGTTAAGCCATTAAATCCAGGGTTCACATACCTGACTGGTTACGTTAGTCCTTTGATCACAGGCAATTAGGAAATCCTAAAGGTGTTTTAGCAGATTAAAAAGTGGCAGCAATGTCCTAGGGAAGAGACATAGCTTTTGCAATAATGGAACATCCTCCGTCAGAACATGTAGATTGCTATTGTCTGTCCCAAGGCCAGGTAAGGGTTCAATTATACTGTAAAGTCAGTTGGTCTTCACATTTGCTCCTGCCCATGCAGTGACCACACAGAGTTGAGACTGTCTAGGATCTGACATTCCCCTCTATGGTGGCCCAGATATTGTGGGTAATTAAGAGAAACGACAGAGCCTCTAACACATACCAACTACTCCAAGAAAACAATAAACATAGTACTTAAAGCTTGGGTAGGAAAGCCTTGGATCTGCCCATTGTGATGTCTCCCCTTGGCATCTCTTGCCAGGATGAACCAAAATGATCTGGAGAAGAAAACAAAGCAAACAAAAAAAATAAAAACACTGTATGTATCCCTTAATTGGCCAGAAAAGCAAAATAAAAGCAAACATGCAAAACACATGTAGGTCAGTATAATTATTTCTCCAACATTCCTCTAAATACACAGTTCTCCCAATTATTTTCATCCTGTCAACATGAATGAAACACAAACATACTTTGGAACAAAGCCAAATCATCGTCTCTGAACTATGTCGTTAGATATGAAAAGGCCAGCATTTCTGAAATTTTCCAGTGTTCTTTACTTTGAAACACAATTGTTTCTCATGGAATGTAAGTTAATCCTAGTGAAAGAGATTTGTTGAAACTCTACGCAACAATTCAAGAGAAAGAATGGGCTCATCCAATTGTTACCAAGCTATGCAATAAATATAATGGTAATATTAAAACAAAATCAAATAAAAAAGTAGGAGATTAAAAAAGCTCAGAAGTTTGATGATGCACATTTTCTTCAGGAAAACAATGGCACAAAGAGGGTTATCTCCCCCTCCAACTTCTGAACATCTGAAACATCTGGCTGGCTTCTGTGAGAAGCAAAATGTTGGTCTGGCAGAGCCCTTGCATGGCTCCTATACAGGAAAAATATGCATTTGGCACAGGAGAGAAATTACAAGGAAAACGGTAGAAAGGATTCTGGAAATTATAAAGAAAACAGCAAGGGCAATAAGAAAGGGTTTTGATTAATTTTAGTATTATATATTTTACAATGGCCCTTTTCTACATGAAAGTAGGTTGAAATTTAGACACACAGCAATACAGATATATGATGCCAAAATATTTTTCAGTGCAATCTCATTATTTTATTCTTCTGTTCAATCATTGTCTGATTCTTGGAGGCTGTCAAGACCCAGCAGTTTTCTTGGTGTGGTTTTTCAGACGTGATTTTCCATTTCTTCTTTGGGCTGAGAGAGTGGTTGGCCCAAGGCCACCCAGCTGGCTTTACGCCTAAGGCAGGACTAGAATACATGATCTCCCAAGTTCTAGCCTGATGCATTAACCACTATTACAAGATAACCCTTACAGATATACTGTATTATGACACAAATCCTATAGCTATCGCCCTGGGATGTTCTAATAGTCTAAATTCATTTTTTGAGTATAGTTTAGATTTGAATGAAAATCGATCCAGATTACAAAGCAGAGAGATTTTTAAAGGTCTTCGCATATATAGAAAGAGTCTTACCTTAATATGTTTTTTTTTAAAAATCTTTGATGCTCCCTGTCCATGATAACCTCACCTCATCAATAGGCTTTTTTTACACCTCCAAAAATGCTTTGTCTTATCACAGCTTGAAGAGTGAGCAGTGCAAGAGTTAAAGCCATGTATTTGGATGCTTTTCCTGCTTTTGAGGGGTTCTTGTTCAGGAAAAATGACTTCTGAAATTATTTTAGCTTATTTTAGAGGTATGCTTGCATTTCCAGTTTATTTTCTGTAATTTAAGCTTTAAGTCTGCCTGCCCATTTTTGCTGCAGCTCTGTACATGTGTTACTTTAAATCACGTATTTGTAATGCATTGTTATCCATATCTGGCATAGCTCTCCTATGGGTTAAACATACATACATGTGTGGAACAGGTGTTGTTTACCAGAATTTGCAAACATTGGGCTTCTAATGTTGGTCATATATTAAACCAAAATGGAAACTGCTCCATTATGATTGCATGAAAGATATACCCAGAAAACAGCTGCAGGCATGGTGAAACGGCTGTTAAGAACAGAGTTTGGGGATGGTACATACAGTCGGGGGTGGGGTTCAAAATTTTTAGCAAGGGGTTTTCTGCCCGGTTGCTGGGTGGGTGCTGCCTAGTTGGCCTTATGCACCATGGTGATGAGGGGGGTGTTTTTGCCCTCAAGCCTCTGGGAGGGTGAAAACAGCCTACCCACGCTCCGGAGGCCCTCTGGAGGCCAGAAACGGGCCTGTTTTCAGCCTTCCTGAACTTCCGGTAAGCCCATTTTTTGCCCTCCCCAAGCCTCTGCATGCGCCCTGCACTTACCTGCATCCTAAAGGTGTCGCGTGAGGACTCCTGGGAGGAGTGGGGCGGGGTGGGCAGGGCCAGCCAGGAGTGGGATTTGGGAGTTCTCTGAACTGCAAGAATCTTAGCTAGAGGTTCTCCCAAACCCCCAGCAGCCCACCCCTGCATACAGTGAAATAAACTACACAGCGTTGTTTAATATGTGGTGTGAACATATCACGTATAACTCAGAAAGTGATGTGGTTCAGCTTTTCTAGCATGGCCTTGTCTCAGTTCTTTCATCCATCAGGGAATCCACCACCACCATCATCTGTAGCTTACCGCCTTATTTGCAGCATGTGAGGGTCAAGATCCAGACCCTGTATTTGGAAGTTTATGATCCTGATCCTCTGTGACAGCTTGAACTTTGAAATCCTGCACAGAACTCTGATCACAGGATGTTGTTAGTGATAAAAGAGACAAAGAAATCTTTCTCCCGAAAGCCTTTTAAAATCTGCTCTGGAGACGGGGTGCATTTGGAAGAGTTGCCATAGAAGATAAGAGTCGGGAAACCCCCAGATGAAAATAGCTTCTACTGAAAAGATCCCTTCATGAACTGTTGGGGCCCTAATATTTGTGGAGTAGCAAAGTCGATCCAAATCTAAAAAACAAGCCTATTGCTGAAAGTGGTAGCCATAAAGTAAGCACTGAACTGAAGATTAAATAATTTTAAAGTATTCAAGCAGTCCAATCCTAAATAAAGTTTCCAGAAGGCGGCATGACGAAGCACCTCCATACGGGCAAGAAAAATAGGCAGAGGTGTCAATAGGTTCATTAAAAATTGGCTCAATTTTAGGAACTCTTTATTTTTAAACCTCAAAATATTTTCTGAGAAGTACATTTCCCTTGTGGCAGTCCTGCTCATTATTCCCAACCATTTGCAAAGATGTGAACAAGAACAAAATCAACTAACTAGCTCTGTACTTGACACTATATATGTCCATGATGGCGAACCTATCACACGCATTCCACAGGTGGCACAAAGAGCCATATCAGCGGGCACGTGGGCTGTTGTCCTAGCTCGGCTCCAGCGTGACAGCTGATTTTTGGCTGGCCCACCCATGCTGCCCTTCCCTTCCCAGGACTCTCCATGCGATGCCAGGTAAGCACAGAGCTCATGTGAAGGCTTTGGGAGGGCGTTTTCAGCCTCCAGAGGGGGTGGGGGATATTTTCACCCTCTGGAGCCTGGGAAGGTTGAAAAACAGACCTACTGGGCCCACTGGAGGTTGGTAAACAGGCCATTTCCAGTCTCTGGAGGGCCTCCAGGGGGTGGGGGAGGCTGTTTTCACCGTCTCCAGGGTCCAAAAAAGCCGTGTGCGCATGCGTGGGGCAGCATGTGGGGGTTCTGCACACATAACCGGGGGCAAGTGCAGGGGAGGACTTATTAAATTATTGGTGTGGGCATGTGTGCAATAGTGTGTGCGCGTGCTTTTGGCACCTGTGGCAAAAAAGGTTCTCCCTCACTGGCATATATGTTGACCTGCCTATCTCTATGCAAAATATCTCCATGTGATCCTTTGCTAAGAGAAGTCTTTATGCACACTGAATCATTTCAGTGATACACTTCAGGTAAACCAGCTCTCAATTCTTCAAGTTAGGCCAGGTTGGGAACAGGCTCCAGAAGAAATACTAGAAGCTAACTTTATAAAAACAACACATTGAAAATCAGTGAGTGTTGCCCCTTCTCCTAACCTCCCTATTATATGAAAGAAAGACAAAGTGGGACTATTGTAAGATTATTTTCTACCCTTATTTTGTTTTCCCAGATGGAGCTCATGTTTTGTAAATGGTCTTCGCTGAACTTCTGCAAGTTCCATGAAACACTGTTGGATTTTCATTTCTGTTCTTCTCTATACCAGAGTTCCCCAACTTTTCTGGCTTAGCAGATTAGCAGGGGGTAGGAAAGGAAATGGTTTTGTGTGAGCAGTGGGAACGCAGGCACGCCACTCAATCAAAGGGCACATGCACTTGCACACTGCTCGCATAAGTGGGGGTGCATGTATGAGCATGCTCGCCCAGCACTTCCACGTCCCAGTAATAAAAGGCTCAAGGCCTGTTAGTAGGTTGGAGACCCCTGCTCTACGCAACCCTTTCACCTCTATCCTGTAGTAATCTGGTGCTCTGTATAAGGCAATACAAGCAACAAAATGATAACAACAATAGCACAACAGAGATGCTCAACAGATATGTCGTAAGTAAGATACAGTTGGTATGCTCTTTACTGCCATTGAAGAAAGTATGTGCATGGGATTAACATTCTTCTAAACTTCTTTACCAAAGTTTGACCCTTGGAAGATGTTGTTCACAAGGCTTTAATGTATAATAGGAAGACCCTTTATTATGATGTGTTTAACAGCCAGCTTTTTGAAAGCACTTATCCTTTGAGAAGATAAAAGTGTCAGGGCGAGATCTCACGGCCTACAAGCCAAACTCTGCCTGCACACCCATCAGGGGCACCTGATGTGTAAAGAGTCCTGGCTCAGGGCCTAACTGACAACAGTGAAGCAAATTAAAACAAAATTGACAATGATTTTATTTCCTTTATTTCCAATCAATACTGTAGGAATACAAATTTTCTAGAAAGCTACAAAAAAATCTACCACTTTATCAAGAAGGCATCAAAATGTGTCACTTTGCAAAGACATGAACACCTGCAGTAACCGACACAAAAATAGCATTTTTAGAGTGATGAAATAATTGCACTTAACTGTCATGGATATTAAAGGTATCACACATATGTACCGCGAAAGCTAGAATACAATTTTTTTTACAAAGCACTTTTATAAAAAAATTCTCTGCACACAAACCCTATACTTTTCATATTACTATCATACTAAAGATAAATTCACTTTAAAGCCAACACTTAAAACGTTTTTAAAAACAAAGAAGGTACCAGTACCTACACACAGACGACAAATACAAGAATACTGTACTGCCAAAAGGTTGGATTGAAAGTTGTTTTGAAAACTTCAAAATATGTTAAGACACAATTTGCCGAGGTTCATTTTCCTTTTTAAAATAGAGCTTTCCCTCAATGCCTAAGCAAGAGGTACTTAGTCATCCAAGGCAGATTGACACCCCTATTCCCAAAGTAACCAGCAGCAGTACAATATTAAAATAACCACTGACCATATATGAATATGCTTAAGTCACAAACCCAGTTTATACACATTACACAAAGAAACAAAGTGAGAATTCCATTAAGTCATTTACAAATGTGAACAAATGCGTGTCAAATTAAAAAAAAAAGGAAACAGAAAGAAAACCTTTTGTTTTTACATAAAATGTACTGATATTAAAAAATTAAAGGCTATTCAGGTTTTAAAAACTGTTATAAAATTATTTTGTCTTTTTCAGGCACATATTGTAGGCTTTTCTTTTGCAGTTAGGAGCCTTGATTGAGAGGCCCGTGTAAAAGAAAGAAAACAAAATGAGAAACAAAAAGAAAACTACCGTGGGAGGAGGTAACAGGATGTATGTCCTTTGTGAAGTGAGTGCATTTTGGAATTGATACAGCAGAACAACCTTATGGGAAACTCTCACAGCCATAGTAATCTACTCAACTGGAGATCAACAAATCCAAATTTACACTGTACTTTCAATTATTCAGTCTTTCTATTCACGGAAATGGCCGGGACTAAAAAAAAAGCCAAACAAGATTACCATATAGTAACCAAAATAATAATAGTAATGATAATATTAATAATAATTAACCTGAGTAGAGAGAAAAAGGGGAACCAATCTATGTTGTTATGGATATCCCACTTGGAGGTGGGCAGGGAGTGGTGCTTTAATGCCTCCAATCCCCTTACATGGGAATTGGGGTGTGAGCATTGCAGGCAATTAAATCACTACCTACTGCAGATGGTGGAGTGTTCTTATATTAGCATATAAATCACATATATGTGTCCTACAGAACAAGGATGCCACGTATATCTATCCTACAGAACAGTAGGACATTATATCTGTCCTATAGAACACAAATGGGCTAGTTTTTAGCCTGTGTTGATGTCCTTGTATCTGCATTATGTCCAGGGGCTGTAGAAAGTATGGGCAGAGTGGGTGAGGCCCCACCTTTCAACCTTGCTTTTCAGTATTAGGCAGATGCCCATACTGTCTGCTCTGGCCTTAACCCCCTTCCACCAACATGGGAAGAATGAGCCCATTTGACGGAGGGATTAGAGGACTTTTAATGGGTGAATTGGGTGCAAGTCTTCACCCTTCAGCCCACTACCTCAAAAACTGGATCCGCATTTCAGACCCAGCCACGAGGAACTGCAAACAAGGTGGTGCAACCCATATGTTGACCGCTCCTATAGCAGAACCACATGTTACATGATGCTAGCGTTGTGTTAAAGTTGATTGATTTGTAACTGATTTTCCTACAATGTCAAAAGACAAGGTCAGTTTAGAAAACATGCCAAAACCATGTTGTTGTTTTTTGTTTGTTTCCTGTAACCTAGAATCCAAAAACTGAACAGCAAATTTTTCGAGCAGCCTTTTGGGAACAGAAAATCGTTCATGACGAAAAATAAATGAAATTACATGAAATGTCCCTCAATCTTCTCACTTGCTCAAACCAATTGTTTATATTGTAAATATAAACAACAGCCTGTGAGATTTGTGGGATTCTGAGATTTGACCTATTTTTATTTTAACATGTTTAATTCAGATGTTTAATAATGGCTGCCTCATACTCATGTATGTACTGCCAACTCTAGGTAAGCTTAATTTATGGTTTGAGATACAAAATATAGTAGGCAAATCATGATTCTGAGTTACCATGTTTGATTATATGATTGTTCAGAGATTTGAAAGTGCTACGATGCACAGCTCCTGCAGGATGAGTAAAGAACCTTTTTAATAAAAGGTCATTAATGCAGATGTTTTATCAAGTATAGAATGAATAAAACATTGATTCATATAACATTCCACTCTATGATTCTGATTCTGTGTACTTGGAAAATTGTGATTAGATTTCATAAAATTTGGTATTACTTAAAAACTGGTTCATACACTACAATATGATAAATTTTTATTTAGTAGATCCAAGCCAATATGTTTTATAAACTGTTTGTTAAACTTCAATGTGTAACATGAATCGAGCCAATATGGCTTATATGACAATCATCATTAAGCAAACAAAGATTTAATCAATTGTGTGAACCATTTCCAAAACATCATTAAATTTCTTTCCTGGTTTGGCATGATGTCTAAACTAAACAAAATGAAGCATACCCTAAGAATTGAACTAAGACTAAATTTACCACTTTGCAGCTTTTGAAATTCTATAAATCACCTTCATATTCTTGGTTGGTTTTGTTTCATTTAATTGCCTCTGTTACTTGAAGGTGATAAAAACAAGAAGATTGAGTTCAAGGGAGTTGCCAAACTGAATGGACTCTAGTAGTAAGTGAGAAAATAGATATGAAACTTGCAAATTACACAACATAGTGGTACAGTACCTAAATAAACCATTCTAGAATTCAAGTAAGTATAAAATTACATTTGTAAAAGCTATGTTTCAACTGCAACAACTTGTACCATTTCTTTTTTTTTCTCAATTTATACATAAGACAATAAATAAAAATGATTCCTTTGCAATAAAATATACTCCTCCCACTTCCTTACTTATATCTGTCTCAGCAGATATATTTAATAGTTGTAAATATATATAGTTTACTTTTGAGGCCAAGCAATCCTTAGTGGATTAGATGCAAGAAGAGAGTGAGGGAGATTCAAATCTTTGAAGAACAAGAAAACCAATATGAATCAAATGAAAGAGAGAAGGGGAACAATCACAAATGTTACTACTTTGTGCTGCACAGCAATTTTAATTAAAAAAAAAACTATTAAAACCATAATAGCTACAATTCTCTCTGCCAACTTTTGGTTTTACTGCTATCAGATTTCTCATGTGTGTATGTCTGCATGTATACACATAAGCACACATACCTTTTTGAATGAGTACATCAGTATCAACGTTGTCAATGTCTCTTGAAATAAGCATTATTCTTCAAATTCACAAACTGTGTTAAATGGCACCCTTTAATTACAGAAGCTGCCTGTCTAGTAATGTGACAGTAACAGACTGAATGATACCAGTCTAAAGGATTTTCTAACAATATTTCTTATTCATTTCTTTAAAAAAATGGTGCCCAAAAGCATGGGTTAAATTTCAGAAACATTTTGATCCATGCTTTTCAATTTTAGACATCCAATTACTCACGTTTGTAAACAAAATAAGTGCAAATTTAAGATGGAGAAGAGGGTCATCTTCACAGAACTAGTTAGTACATTAATAAAATCCCATTTGTCCTTTGCTTAATTTTCTGCTAATTATGGAGAAATGTCAAATTGAATGGAGAAAGACATGGCAAAGGTGAAATACTGATTTTTTTTTTCTTTTTAATGCTAGTTATCAAAGCCTCAGAAACAACAAGAGGGATATTAGTTTCCAGTATTATGCACTCTTGTGATTTGAAAAAAAGCATGCTACTATAAAAAGATACTCTTTGAGAATGGAGGCCTGTTAGTTTTGACTGTGTCCAATAAACCAAAGGCATTATGGTGATCTCTAAATATTTTTGGTCTCTACAATTTGTCATTATTATGGCAGCACTTTTCTAAGCTGGAACTTCAAAACCAAAGGCACTTGCATGCACGAGTGCAGAGTCAAAACTAAGTATTTGGTCATGAGAACTGGAAAAGGCAGCATTATTTATACAATTCACTTTCTGCAGAAAATTATAGAACTGTTTTGTTTTGGTATAAAGGTTCCAACTATGTGGTAATGGGGACTGACTTGTGTAGGAAGGTTTCTTTGACCAAAAGCGTTTCCTCTAGGAGATTATTTTTATATATATATATACATAAATAAACCAAATTAATGGACTACATATGATTGGCATGATAGGCTAGAAGGTACTCCTACTATAGCACTAAGGCACTGCATATTGTAATGCTTTGGCAGCTTGGAATTAAGAAGTTCCTACCACAAATAACAGTAACAAGAGAGATGCTTCCAGCTTACAAAAGAGCTCACAGTTGCCAGGCAGCGTTTGGGGGACCAGACACAAAACCTTTGACAGACTTAAGGCTTGAGGAAGAAACATGCTCAGGGGATGAATCGTTTACATTCACAAATAAGTGACTGACAAGGCAAACAGTTCCCCATACATTTTTACAAAAACAAACATCAAGAAACATCAGGATGCTTCAGACGGTAAAGTCATTACATATGTTTTGTTGCAGGCTGCATTATCAGAAGAAGAAGAAAAACTGTGCCTATTTTGCAAACCAATGTTTCACGTGTGAAAAGTGATCCTAATGTTTTAAAACTCCCCCCCCCTAAAATAATAAATAAATCTAAAACCCAAAGCCTTGTAATACTCGACTGTGAAAAAGAGAATTTTCGACCTGTAACACCAAGTGCTTCAAATAAAGGGCTCCTTCTGCTAGGTTAAATGCAGTGCTTCTATTTAAAATACTTTGCTTGTGTTAGAAACACGTGAAGAGACTCAACCATAAATGTTCAGTTCTAGTGCTCGCAGACAAAATGACTGACAGCACAATCCTGTGTGCATATATACCCAGAGGTAAGTCCTATTTAGTTCAACAGGATTGACATCCAGTTGATTGCAGCCCAAGAGGTTCATCTGCCTTAACATCCATTAGTCAAAAGATGCTCAGTTTACCAAGCATTTCAACGTTCTTCTTGGCCTTCCATTCTACTGCTGGCCTACCCTCTTACTTTTGTGAATGCAAATGTTAGAAAATGTTTGAGGAACCCTGTGCTGCAACAATCCACTAGACAGGTGAATGCAATCATGGACAGAAGACCACAGCATTATGCAGCCTTCCAGATGTTAAGCACCATAATCTTCAACAATGAAGTAAAAGAGAACCTTCCAGATGAACTGTACCTTGACACATCCTCACAGTCTTTGATGCAAATGTTTTTAATTGTGGAAGTTTATTAACACAGTGCCTAAAATGTTATATATAGCATTTACCCTAAGAGTGACTCCAAAATTTCAAAACTGTAGGGAATTGTGACTCTAAGAGCAGCAACTATTGTCATTCTATCATGAATGTAAAATCAATATGAGGAAAGTGTCTGTAGTTCTTTGAGGAACCTTTCCCAATTTGCAGCTTTGGATAGCTGGAGGCTAAATTTTCATTCTAAATGCCTCAAAAAATCCCAAACCAAAGAAACTTAAATTTAGAGCTATAAAGCAAGACTGCCAGGTGCAAAAACACCCACAAAAAAGGGCAAGAGGTGCAATGACAAAATGTGCAAATTAACATCATGATGGAAAAATGATAACTTATGTCCTTGTCTCAGATGTTGGAGTGCAATTATGTGAAGATGGAAATTGCATTTCAGCATTTATCTACTACTATGCTTCTAGAAAATTCTCAAGTAAATCTGATTCCACAAGTGAAGAAACGAAGACAGACTTAGTTGCTATTTGTGGCTAATATTTTCATGTGCCAGCATTTCAAACCACCAAGTTGAATTATGGCACATAAGGAGATGGTTTAAAATCAGAGTAGTTGTGTAAATCAGGTATCAAACCATCTTGTGAGCATGTACTCTTCCTAAATTGCATGTCTTAATATAATCTTGACTAAGCCACATTTCAGCCTTGCTCTTTTATGAAGATTTTCATAAACTTTGTTCATAAGATGTTACTGAAGGAAAAACAACCCCACAGAGGTACAATCAGATTGTGTGCCTCAGCAATATGAACTATGGATATCTAAACAGTGGGGATGAACAGTCAGATGAAGGGAAATTATAGTACAGGAGCCAAAATGAAGAGATTAAGAGTAGGACTTGTGTAGAAAGCTCTATATAAATAATCGGTTCAAACCTTTGGCATGAGCGCGGTGTTCCTTTTCCTGACAAACACAATTGTGGACAGGAAAAGAAAAACTGGGATTGAGCCAGATATTTTGAGAAGTCTACAAAAGAAAAGTTGGTCACAAACTCAACCATCATTGCTGGTTGGATGTTCAGAGAATTATAGTCCAACCCATCTGGAGGGGCATACGGCTGGGGAAAGTTATATTCATCATGACAATTTTAAGACAGAATCTGCCAAGCCACCTGTAGCTCACCAGATATGCATTCTGGGCAGCTAAGTGTTTGACAGTCCTTGGATTGATTTCAAATAATCAGAGAAGCTACTTATTTGTGAAGGGATATAGTCGTGCTGGCATTATATATAAAAGGTCCAGTCTTGACTTTTATTTTTATTTATTTATTTATTTATGATTTTTTTTAAAAAAAAAACATGCTTGATATCCTAGAGCAGTGTTTCTTAATTTTGGCAACTTTAAGATATGTGGACTTCAACTCCCAGAATTCTCCAGCCATTGTGCAATCCTAGAAAATAACTCTCAATCCCTACTGGCAAACCTGAGCTAGGTGAAACAGTCTTCTGAGTCAGTGTAAAACAGTTCTGAAATATATTAAGTCCTTAATGTGGCTTCCACAAATAGCTGATATTTTACATATTTCGTCTGGTGGATCACATTGCGCAAGACTAGCTTAAGGAAACTAATCAGTCTTTTGTCAATGTCAAATATTTTTAGGATTCTAAAAACATTAAAACAGATGAACCTTTTGTTTTAGACCTTCTATTGTTCCCCCCCAATTACAATTGTGGCTTTTATCTGACAATGTAATTAAAAAAATAACACTTTCAAATCCCTCTCCCATATAATTGGTAATTTGGGTGTTGCAATTTCTTGAGTTGTTAAGAAAAACAAAACAAAACCATTTCATATAATATATAATCACGCACACAGGATTACATACACTGTAAATCTAATCTCAGTATTTGTCTAGTTATTGCAAAACGAGCCATCTTTTAATTAAATAGCCGAATGTCCTTATTAGTACAAATATTTTATATTTTTAATGCACTAGATAAAATTAGTAAAAGAAAGGAAGTCTTCTCGCTTTGCAATACCTGCTTGAAAGTTTCAGTGAATTAGAATATTAGTTAATATAGAGGGAAAGAAAAAAATATATTTTGCCTACTTTAAGGACCTATCCATTCCCATCAGGCATTTCTTAAGGCTAAGTTTGTCATTTGGCTTCAAACAGAAATTGAGTTGCAGTATAAAATAATTTAGTGATTTACATTCGTCTGTATTTTCCACAGTAATCAGTTATGAAGATACTTTTAAAAAAAAGAATTTGTGTGCTAATTTATGCTTAGTCAAAATTCATTTCATTCTTGCACCTTAGAAACACGATTTTTTAAATTTAGACAAAACACCTCATAAATTCTTAAAACTGCTGTTAAGCTTTTCCATGGCAATTGCTCTGTCTTACATTTTTCTAATACAACAAATTAAAACTTCCACAAATTCTTAAATATAGTCTCCCTCCAAAAGGGTGGCTTTATAAATTTAAAGAACACTTTGTTTTAAGAAAGAATTTGTACAACTGTACCAGAATTTCACAGCTACAATATTTATCAACACACTCCAATGAGGTTTAGAAAAATGTTGGGGACAACTCAGCCAAAGAAAACTGCCACTTAGTGTTGAGGTTGACAGTCTGTATTTTCATAAGGAGTCATATTGAAAAGGTGTCTATAAATAACTGTTCAGTCCTTTACAAGCCTGTAGATGTGATGCTGTGCACCATGTTCACTGTTTGAAACTTCAAATACACAAGCCATGCAAAGGAGCGTTTCTTGAGTGTCCCTGTTTGTTACAACCTGTTTGGTTTTTTAATATGAAAAAAAGAAAGAAGAAAGGAAAATGTCATGTTAGAAACCTGTATACAAAGACACAAAAGGATGTAATTTCAAAAGCAGGCATCTTTTTCAATTTGTATATCAACAAATAGCATATTTCTAAACTCACCCAGTCTGTTAAACCAGCAGTTTTTAAGTTAGATTTTTTTTTCAATTCTACCTTCACATGAGAACAAGGCAGGGTGGAATTGGTTCAATGTCAAACTCTGAAGGAATATTTTTGGAATTTTCTTAAGGAAAATAATTGTTAAACCCCGTCCATTAGTTGATTAAAAAACAGCAACTGAAGCATCCATGAATTCAAAGAGGTGGGAATATTACTGTGTTTCCCCAAAAATAAGACCGGGTCTTATTTTCTTTTGAAACCCAAAATAAGCACTTGGTCTTATTTTTGGGGCGGTCTTATTATTTTTGAGGTGCAGGAGGTGGCGAGCGTGGTCACCTCATGGCTGCTGCTGTATTTCAATATTTTTGGGGAGGGCTTATTTTAGTGAATGTGCTCAAAAGCCCAATTGGGCTTATTATCTGGGGAAGTCTTATTTTCAGAGAAACAGGGTAGTTCCTTCTCCTTCTGCAACCTTCCTGCAAAACGTGCTTCATATGTTTTGGGATACTTTGAGAATAACATAGAAGCTTTCATAAAGATAAAAAAAAAAGTTCACAGATATTTTCTACTTTTTAAAAAGAGCATAAAAGTAAAGATAAAGGTTTCCTCTTTCGGTTGTGTCTGATTCTAGGGGGCAATACTCCTCTCCATTTCTTAGCCCAGAAAGGCACTATTGTCCAAGGACACTTCCATGAATGATCATGTGACCAGCATGACTATACGCCAAGGCACATGAACCATTGTTATCTTCCCACCAAAATGCTACCTGTTTATCTACTCGTTTTTTCATGCTTTTAAACTGCTAGATTTGTAGGAGCTTCAGCTGAGATCATCCCATCATGTGGCACTCGGGTCTCAAACCGAGGCTGTCAGTTTTCCAGCTGACAAACTTAGTGTCTTTAAATGCTATATTATCGTGCCCCTTAAAATAAAAGAGAATATAATAGTGCAATTGTATAACCACCTAACTTTTTAATAACCTGTTCCATCCTAACATGTGGAAATCTGAATTTCCAACCACTTTTTAAATGGAACCAAACCTACTCCAACTTAGAATTTTGAAACTGTTAGTGAGCAGTTCCATTCTGCTATCTTGCTTTAAATCCCCGAGAGAATGCACACAGCTACTCCAAAACTCTTCTACTGTAGGCTTGGCATATGGTTTGAGCTATTTGAGCTTCTCTGCATTTCTAAAGTGCTTCGAAAGTTAGGAGTATTGGAGAAGAGAAGTGGCAAAACAGAGGTATAGTAAGTTACAGAGACAGATCTGAATTATATCAGATGTCCTGATATCCAATCTTCCTAAGTTCTCAAGAATTTCAGGAGCTTCTGAAATACAGCCTGTTGTGAAAATCAATAGCTAACACCGAACATTGCTTGAAATCAGTAAACTGACAAATGCCGTAAGGAAACATTACCTTCCTTGCACTTTGTACTAAAGAGGTGCCAGCTTCTTCCCCGAATCCCACTTCATCACTCAGAATACTATGAGATAAACACATTGGGTACCCAGTCCAAAGAAAACATGTAAACTCCATTGCTAACATAATTAATAGTCACACATTAGATCTGAAAGTGTGTAACAGGCTTATGCGAATGTTGGTATTTCTTTCCTATTAACCTTCACAGATAAGGGCTAAGAGGAAGAAGCTCCAAGTATAAACACAGCCAAATTTCTACCATAAAGGCACAAATCAGTCTAAATTCACATGAAATATTAAGCCGTAATGCAATTTGCTTTTTGTTTCATTTAATGCACTGTGCAACCATTCCATTGTGCCTTGATTTCATATTTGAGGTAGGAACAATGGCTTGTTCAACATATCATGTTTAAAAATCCTAGGTTAGCATTGTCAGTTTCTGACTCCTAAAATTTTATTTTAAAAACCCTGAATCCTCAACACATAAAGTTTCAAATATTGTCCTATCAGGAAAGATTAAAAATCAGAACTGTCCTTTAAATGACATAACTCTCAGCTGAAGGACGTGGCATTTCTAACTCATTAAAACAAATCATAAGAAACATCTACCTCCTCCCAACACACTCCAGAGAACAGTGAGCAAAGGGAAGAAAATTATTACCAATAAAATTGTAAAGTTTTCCAACACACTGTTCATCATGTATTTCTCTGGTAAATGTTTGAGCTTGTGGATGAAGTTGATCATATATTCACACATTGGGGAGCGATTTATTCTAAACACAAACCGACCATTCTCGAACCGTGCATATTCCGTCTAAGAAAAACAAAGCAAAAATAAAGTTGAAAATTGAACTATTGCAAATAATTATTTAGAAATCATTTGATTTTCCCATTAAATTAAACCAGTGCTTAAATATAATAAATTAAATACTGTAAAAGCATAACAAATTAAGAGTATTTATTTAGACTGCACCCAACAATGGAATTAACTTTCTCTCCCTCTGCAACCCAATGCAAATCTTCAACCGTCTAAAATAGATGGGGAAGACCCTCTGAAGAAAACAAGAGGTATGGGGTCTATATGAGGAGAAAATGTAAGAAATCAGGGTAGCAAGGAAAACTCCACTTGCATAAACCAAAGTTATTCAGTTGAGAACATTAAGGAAGATTTTGAAATATTCCCTATTCAGTATGTGGTGAATTCTCAAATCTATAAAACAGATTGTTCATAGTTCCAAGAATTTAGGTAAGAGTTCTTAATTTTTGAGCTAAAAGCATGTATATAAGGCGCTCTGGTGGCACGATAGAATGTGGTATATTGCAGGCAAACTATGCCCCAGCCCATAGTTCAATCCTGATGGGGCTCAAGGTTGATCTCATCCTTCCAAAGTCAAAGTAAAATGACAACCCAAACTGTTGGGGGCAATATGCTGACATTGGAAACACCCAGAGAATGCAGTAAAGCATTATGGGGTGATATATAAGTGCTATTGCTAAGTACTATATTATGATTCAGCAGAGGAAATATGTAGGCTAAAACAGCATTTTAGGCTTCTCCAAAAATAGTGGAAAAGGCTGTTACAGGGATGCATGCTTACATATCTGAGACACAAAAAGGTTTCATAATGAGCAAGCTGCAATACAAAATACTACATCTGCCAAACAGCCAGACTGCTTTAAGGATTTTAAAGGGCACTCATTAAAGAAAATTCTCCTAGCAAATTAGTTCAAGTTGAATAGCAGGGAGCATATTCCATTTCTCTAGTCACTTTTTTTCCAAAAAGATTCCTAAGTATATGGAGAAAATATACACAACAATTTTATATTAGCGCAACTGTAGCTGCGTTGATTCAGATGGACAATTTGAAAGACGGCATTCTTTCTTTTTTTTAAAAGAGAAGTATGAAATAGCAACAATAATCCCTACCTCTACTTTTTCCACCACTTGCTTTCCAAATGAGCAGACTTTGGTGGAACAGGTGATTGTCATGTTTTCTGAACTTTCATATTGACTAGTTACACCATAGAATGCTCCTGTATCATCTTGGATGTTGCAATTTAAATCCGCCTGTAAGAAAAACAGCGTTTATATAAGAAGCAATTAGCAATTAGCATTTTACCTTTATGTAGGCCACCCTGGAAACAAAAACAGCCTAGTTATATGCAAAGAAATATATTGCCTTGATTCTCACTGCAGGTGTATAATTGTTGCCAAGTGACTTTCCACTGCAATTTTGAAAGGCATGGTTATTTCATCTAAGGTTTGGATTCCAAATTCCTGGCCCATAAAAGTTTTTGACTATTTGAACTACCCAGTTTCTAATTCAAAGAATTAAGGGGATATAGCTATTCAATGGGAAGAATATCTCTTTTCCCCCAACTTGAACTGGATACATATAAATAAGTCATGAGTCAACCTTTGAAATGAAAAGAGCTAAAATATATAGCCCTTTATTTGCTTGGGTTAGGGTTTTCTTTGCTTTTCAAGAGAGCATTCAATAATTCCACATGCCAATAATGAATCATATCATACACTGTTAATATAATAATCCACCACAAATAATAAGGACAACCTCACAAACTCAGGTGGCATAGGTAAAGTTTAGATCACTGGGAAAATAAGTTATAATTAATTTAATTGCAGCAACTTGTAAAAACAGCTCAGAATGATTATTGATATAAATTCATAGGTGTGAAAATATAGCTACTGTATATGCCATATGTCATTGAAGAATAAGTACGATTGTCCAATATTCTTAAACACACCCACTGAAAAGGGCAACCACACCCTTTGAAAATTTCTCAGCAGCTCACAGGAAAGAGGAGAATGGATAATCTGTTGCAGACAGTGACGTGCGGTGAGGTTTATGGCTGGTGAGGCACTGACACAGGAGTTTCAAATTCTTTTAGACTTGTGGACTTCAACTCCCAGAATTCCACAGCCAGGCATGCTCAATTCCGATTTAAAGCGACAGCATTTGTTTTTCTCCTTTGCGAAAAAGTTTTTATTTTTCTTCTCTCTCCCCCTCCTTCCCCCCTCTCTCACTCACTCACTCTCAAACAAACACAAACAGAAATTGGATTGGATATATTTTCCAATGGCTTGAAAGCAGCTCCTCTGCCATACCCCCACCCCCATTCCCCTGCTGCCTTCCGATCCGAGCCTTTGATTGCAGGTGGAGCCACATTGCCTTTTCAAACTTGTAATCAGTGAAACTGGGCTTATATACTTTTATCCAGCTGTGTGTGTGTGAGAGAGAGAGAGTGTGTATGTGTGTGTGTGTGTGTGTGTGTGTGTGAAAAGGCAACGTAGCTCTGCATGCAATCAAACTACACTTGGGAAGGGATCTACACTTGAGGATGAAGTTTGAATTCCTCTCCCTCCCTCTGACCCACACGTACCTTTTCCAGCTGTTTCAGAGAGGGTTTCAACTCTGCTCTGCCTTGCCATCATGAAAAGAAAAAAAATGTAAAAGGAAAAAGGCAAGAGCTGAGGTCAGGCTGAGCTAGTTGACTCTGCTTAGTGCTTAACTGTTTAAAAAAGCCTCTTAAAAATGCCCTCCACAGGAGGAGGCAGGAGAACGACGTGCCTCATCTACGTCAGGAATTTTTCAGCTTTTAACCCTTGCTTAACTCTGCTTGAGTGATCATAAAACACCAGACTAAATGAGGCACATCGTTCTCCCGCCTCCTTCTTTAGAGGGCACTTTTTAGAGGCTTTTTTAAATAGTTAAGCACTAAGCAGAGTCATCCACTGTGACTCTGGCAGCAACTAGCTCAGCCTTTTTCCTTTTACATTTTTTTTCTTTTCATGATGACAGTGGTGAGGCTCTGCCTCCCCTGCCTCTCCTGACTGCACATCCCTGGTTGCAGAGTATAAATAATTACGCAAAGCAAGAATAAAGACACACTAGCTAACATATACTTGGAGAAAGTATTAGAAAATTTGCAGGAAACATCTCCTATTCAAATCCTCCCACCCAACACCACATTTGTAAAGCACAGCAAAGATGGAATGGCTTTATGATAAAACAGAACTATCCAAACATTTTGCAGACAGTGTTGTTTGGAGAAAGTAACCAAAATTTGATCATAAAATGGATGATTGGCAGCATTTGTGATGGATGCAGCTAATCCCAGAGAACAGTAAACTCCAAGGGCTAAAAAACAAAGAAACTGACTGCATGCAATTAAAAATTAATTATTTATTATAATTCAGGATTATCCCTCAACTCAATTCCCTCTTTTCCACTTCACATTTCTCAAACAAAGTGATCTATTCACCCAGAAAGTCATAATTCTCTTCTAAGCTCAGCACTCAGATATTTTCCTTTCGAACTTTCTACTAAATTTTGTTAACATGAGAGACTCCCAGTTATATTCTGCAATATTCCCCCTCCCAGCCCAAAAAGAGGTTGTCCTTGGTTAATGACCATTTGTTGAGTGACTGATGCTAGGACACTGAACTGATCTTTAAAGTTGTGGCTGTTGCAGCATCACTGCAGTGATGTGATTGTGATTTGGGCACTTGATAATCAATTTGCACTTTTGATGGTTGCAGCATCCTGCAGTCACATGATCAACATTTGTGACTTCATTGCCAGCTTCCAACAAGCCAAATTAATGGGGAAGCCAGCAGGAGGTCACAAATGATATCCACATGACTTCATACTTAACAACCACAGAGGATTTGCTTAATGGCTGTAACCAGACCTGCAGGAACTGCTGTTTAAGTCGGTGTGATTGTGTGGCATCAAACTTTACAACTGCATTGCTTAGTGATGGAGTTTCCATTTAGTGTTGTTAAATGAGGACTTTCCTTGTCCCTCAAATAACTTATTTCTAATCTCCACCATTCCTCACCCCACTGCTATCCCATTTCTACTGATTTCCTCTTTTATCTGGCAAGTGGTGTATATCCTCCTTTTATGGGAAAGGAAGCAATAGGAACACATTAAAATAAAGCATGGCCCTCTGGCCACCTTTTAGCTTGACTTCTTAAGAATGTGAGGTCTAGAAAAATTATGAAGAATAAAGACGATGAACTGCTTTGTGTTGAAGCACTCCCAGGAACAGCTCTCTATTATAAAATCAGCATGAGTGAGAAAGAGTTATTTGTATTGCAATGGTTACATCCTTTTTCCAACTACCATATTTTCCGGAATATAAGACGCACCAAGGTTTTGAAGAGGCAAGTTAAAAAAAAAGTAGGTAGGTAGATAGAGTGATAGAGAGGTAGAGAAAGAGAGAGAAATACTAGGTGGGTAGGGAGAGAGAGAGAGAGAGTAGTTAGGTAGAGGGATAGAAAGAGAGAAATAGAGAGAGAGATAAATATAGTAGATAGGTAGGGGGAGAGAGAGTAAGTAGGTACGTAGATAGATAGAAGAGGGAAGAGAGAGAAATACTAGGTGGGTAGGGAGAGAGAGAGAG